GCTACTTGGGAGGCTGAGGCAAGAGAATCGCCTAAGCCCAAAAACTGGAGGTTGCTGTGAGCTGTGACGCCACAGCACTCTACCGAGGGTGAAAAAGTGAAACTCTTGTCTCCCCTCCGCCCCCCTTAAAAAAAGAAAGTGAAATTGGTCCTCTCTGGGTAATTGTGGTGCTGCCTCAAGGAGGCTTCCTTTAAACTGTGGGAGAGAGGCAAAAAGGGAGTTGGTCTGGTTCTTTTTCTTTTTTTTCCCCCCCCTTACTATTTTTTTATTCTTTTTTGCAGTTTTTGGCTGGGGCCAGGTTTGAATCCACCATCCTCAGTATATGGGGCCGGTTCCCTACTCATTGAGCCACAGGTGCTGCCACTTACTTTTTTTTCTTTTTGAGACAGAGTCTCACTATGTCAGCCTTGGTAAAGTGCCATGGTGTCACAGCTGAGAGCTACCTCAAACTCTTGGGCTTAAGTGGTTCTCTTGCCGTAGCCTCCCAAGTAGCTGGGACTACAGGCACCTGCCACAACGCCTGGCTACTTTTTTTTTCATATTTTGGCCAGGACTGGGTTCGAACCTACCACCTCCGGCATATGGGGCTGGCGCCCTACTCCTTTGAGCCACAGGTGCCATCCAGTCATTGTTGCTTAGCAGGCCTAGGCTGGGTTAAACCCGCCAGCCCCAGTGTATGTGGCCAGCTCCCTAACCGCTGATCTATGGCGCTGAGTCCGTAGTCTTTTTTTTTTTTTTTTTAAACTCATTTTCCAAGTGGATGTTCTTGGTACCTAAACAAATGCATTTTTTCCCTTTTTTTTTTAAAGACAGGAGTCTCGCTCTTTTGCCCTGGGTGGAGTGCAGTGGCATCATCATAGCTCACTGCAACTTGAGGCTTCTGGGCTCAAGTTTCCTGAGTAGTTTGGACAGTTGTCATTGTTGGTTAGCTGGCCCAGGCTGGATTCCGACCCACCAGCCTTGGTGTATGTCACTGGTGCTGTAACCACTGTGCTACGGGCACGGAACCTCAAATGTTATTTTTTCTGTTTGTTTGGGTTGGTTTTTTTTTTTTTTGAGACAGTCTCACTTAGTCATTCTGGGTAGAGTGCCATAGTGTCCTAGCTCACAGCAACCTCAAACTCTTGGGCTGAAGCATTCCTCTTGTCTCTGTCTCCCAAGTAGCTGGGACTACAGTACCTGTCACGATGCTGGGCTACTTTTTCTTTTTTTGGTGGAAACAGGATTTCACTTTGCTCATGCTGGTTTTGAATTCCTGAGCTCAGTTAGTCTACCACCTTGGCCTCTCAGAGTGCTAAGGATTAGTGCTAGGATTACAGGCATGAGCCACCTTGCACAGCCAACTGCTTTTCTTTAGAAGTGGAAATTTCTTTCTTTCTTTTTTTTTTTTT